CTTACAATCCAAGATTTGCACTACTATTTCCCTAAAGAATACAAATATACTAATTCAGAGGGTTATATGCACTCTGATTTTCTTAGCAGCATTATCTACAATAGCCAAATTATGGAAGTAGCCCAAGTGTCCATTGATAGATGAATGGATAAAGAAGATATATGTAGATACAATGAAATATTATTCAGTCATTAAAAAGAATGAAATATTCCTATTTGCCACAATATGGTTGTGCATGTTGTGCATATTGCCCAAGTGCAAAATAAGTCGGGGAGGCCTGGGTGGCTCAGGATTTGAGTGTCTGCCTTTGGCCGAAGGTGTGATCCTGTGGTCTGGGGATCGAGTCCCACATCGGGCTCCTGCATGAAGCCTGCTTCTCCCTCTGCCTGTGTCTCTGTGTCTCTCATGAATAAATAAAATCTTAAAAAAAAAGAACAAACTGATGGTTACCAGAGGGTAACCAATTGGGTGGTGGAGATTAAAGAGTACACTTGTCATGATGAGCACTGGATAATGTATACAATTGTTGAATCACTATATTGTACACCTGAAACTAATATAACACTGTGTGTTAACTATGTTGGAATTAAAATAATAAAAAAAAATTTTAATTAAAATTTTTTTTTCTTTAAAAAGTAACAAAAGTAAATAGTATAAAATGTTAATAATAGGTGAATCAGAGTGAAGACTATATGTATGTTTTGGATATTATTTTTATTTTTGCAATATTTTATAACTTTGAAATTATTTCCAAAGGAGGACTTCTAAACTTCATACTTAATAAAAGGTTAGAAAGGTAGTTCCTTTTGTGAAATTTTTCATTCATAGCAAGTGAAACAAAAACACCAAAAACCAAACCAAAACACTAATACATTAATATTTTTGATGATTGGGTGCCACCCAGTGTTCAATTTCTGCAACTGCAAAACTAACAAACCCAGTTTCTCAAAACTGTTTTTGGAAATAGCTTTTGTTGATTTCTTTATGATGGAAACATAAGATTATGTTATGAAAAGAATGTGTGCAGTATCAAAATTAGTAAAAAAAAATAAAAGAAAAAGACACAAGCTACTAAACTATGAAGAAAAAATCCATGTGTCATGATATCGAATGTAGGTTTCTGCCTCCTTTAAATTTTATCAGTCTCAAGAAGACATCAACGTAAATAGAATATTCAGAAGGACTCTGATCAGTGGACAAACTAGTCAAAACTAAAGGTTTATACATAATCCATGACAATTATATGGCCTAGAATTTCTTCAAAACATCCATAGACTCAAGGTGAAGTGGCCACAGCAGGAAAACTAGTATGTTGGGTTTTTTTTTTCCCTAAATGACGGATGTTGTGGGATATTTGCCTAAGTAAATTCCATTACAATACAAGAACAAAGTTAACATTTGATTGGAAGTTAATTTAGTATCATAAATTTTTAAAGGAACAGAATCCTTTAAAACAAACATCGAAGATCAATCTGTTGAACCAACTTCACTCAGGGCAGCAATGTTTCAGGCTTCTTCATGGATCGTGGCTGTCATCCAAATTCCAACCCTTAGAAAGACCAGAATGTAAAATGTGGAGTTCAATTTGGATACACTCGCGTCTTCACCATCATCCCCATCGTCAAAGAGGATTCTGGCACCGTCTCCAGGATCCGGCCTTTGACTGTAGCTTGTCCTGGAGGTTGAACATGTGCCTTCACATCTCTGGCTTTATCAGCAATACAGTGTAAAATCCTGTAACTCTGCTGTCTAGGAGTCTTGGAAACTCACTGATGCAACGTCTGAAGTTCTTATCCTACCTTTCTTTTTCAATTTTTTCTGTCAAAACCTATTGCTTCCAATTGCCCATTTCCCAGCATTTAGATCACGTGGGCCTACTGGTCCCTTGTCCTTGAAGGCTACTTCTCTTATTTCAGGTCCACTCTCATTCTGACCTCTGCACGTCTTTTCACCTTTGTTATTGGGCAGGGCTGCAATGGAGGTCTGGGTCTCTAACTCCCTCCCTGGTGCCGGAGGAGCAGCAGCCATGAGGGGCTGCGTGCCTGGTAGGGGAGAACTTCCAATTAGGGCTTCCTTACTCCCCATTTGCACCACTCCACATTTTTCAGAATTAAACCTTCCTTTTTCTGTTGTCTCAGCAAACCCTTTGAAAACTTAACTTGGTGTATTTGATGGAGTCTAAAATTAATCTTTATTTCTATCTTCTCGAAGGAAGACCTTAGAATGCTTTGACTTCAGTCATCTCCCTCTTCTATATTTTATGCTAATATTGTAGAGTGAGGTCTTGTGCTTCCCTTTCCCCCAAATTAGTCATTATTGTTTGTTGTTTTTTAAAGATTTTATTTATTTATTCATGGGAGACAGAGAGAGAGAGAGCAAGAGGCAGAGACACAGGTAGAGGGAGAAGCAGGCTCCATGCAGGGAGCCTGATGTGGGACTCGATCCCGGCTCAACCACTGGGCCACCCAGGGATCCCTTCATTATTGTTTTTTGACGAGCGTGTTTTTACACTGCTCCATGTTTATCAGTTTCGTTGCTCACTGTTCTTTCTTGCATCTCATTCCTCCTGGTTTCCATTTCCTTCTTCCTGAAGTACATCCCTCTGTAATTATTTCAGCAATTAATAGGGAGTGATAAATTCTCTTTTCGTTTCTATGTAAATGTTTTTTTTTCTTCTCTCTTGAATGAGTTGGGTACTGATGTCCACAGTGACACTTATTTCCCTCTCACAGTCAGAAGACAGTGTTCTATCATCTGGCCACTCTAGCATTGCTCTTGTAAAGTCAGCTCTCAGTTCATTGCTCTTTCTTTGTGAGGTACCTGTGCTTTCTCTAAGGGACCTTAAGTCTCAAACGACTTTCTTTGTGTTTTTGGTGTTTTCCAGTTTCACTACAGTGTTTATTTTTCCTGATTTCCAGATCAGAGTGATCCTTAAATCTGGGCATTTATGTCTTTTAACCAAGACTACACATTTTTCTGCCATTTACCTCTTCAAATTTCTCTCTCTTCATTCTTTCCTCCTAGAATTCCTATTCCAACGATGCTTAGTCTTCTCACACTGTCTTCTATGTCTCCTCATTTTTTGGTCATAATCCCTTTTCTTTATCTCTCTGTATTTATCTTTTACCTCATTTTATCTCTCTGTGATATTTTAGATCATTTTCTCACATCTATCTTCTAGCCTGATAATTATCTCTTTAGTTTTGTTTAATGGATTTTTTTACTTATCAGTTGTGTGAATATACTTTTTTATTTCAATAACTTTTTCACTTCTTTTTTTAAGATTTTTTTTATTTATTCATTCATAAGAGACACACAGAGAGAGGCAGAGACATAGGTAGAGAGAGAAGCAGGCTCCCTGCAGGGAACCTGATGTGGGACTTGATCCCAGGACCTCAGGGTCTCAACGGGAGCCAAAGGCAGACGCTCAACCACTGAGACCTCCAGGTGACCCCCTCCCCTTTTAAAGATTTTATTTATTTATTTGAGAGAGAGTGAGCAAGAGAGAGAACACAAGCCTGGGGGTAGAGGCAGAGGGAGCAGTAGATTACCCACTGAGCAGGGAGCCCAACATGGGGCTTGATCTCAGGATCCAGAGATCATGACCTGAGCCACAGGTAGATGCTTAACCTACTGAGCCATCCAGGCACCCCTTCTTTTTTACTTCTAAAATTTCTATTTAATTCTTTCTCAAATTTTCTCCTCAATCTGCCTGTTTTTAAGAAATATTTTATTTAGTTTTGTTTATTTAAAAATATTTTTAATAATTTCAAAGATAATTATTTTATTCTGCTTCAGTTTGTCTTTTTAGTCATCTCAACTTCTGGTACTTATGTTCCCTGACTGTCCCTCATGGTGGAATGATTTCTTATGTTTAACAAGTTTTTACAGTAAACTCATCTTTACCTGGGACTATGTTTTATGAGTCCAGAATGAAGACAAACTTCCTTGAAATCTGCCTGAGTTGGTAGACAAATTTCATTCTGATCCACTCTTTCACCCTTAGGAATCCCTTTTAAGGGGCTCAATGTATTTACCTCTACCTCATTCACCCATGTGGAACCAGGTCCCTTATAGCCTGTAAATGTATTGGATTATTTTTATAGTTTATTTAGCAATTCTTTGATTGGAAGGGTAGATTTTTCTAATCCTCTTTTTGGAAATGGGAGACTGGACTGTGTTACAGGATATTTAAGACTGATGAATTACTGGCCCCTACCTCAGAAACTAAAAATGCATTGTGTGTTAATTAATTGAATTTAAATAAAAATTGGGGCACCTGAGCGGGTCAGTGGTTAAGCTCTGCCTTTGGCTCAGGGCGTGATCCTGGGGTCCTGGGATTGAGTCCCCGCATCAGGCTCTCCGCAGGAAGCCTGCTTCTCCCTCTGCCCCTGTCTCTGCCTCTCTCTCTGTGCCTTTCGTGAATAAATAAATAGAATCTTTAAAGAAGAAAAAGACTTTAAATAAAAATTAGATAAAAAGGCTAAAATCAGAACTTTCATGAAGATACAATATGAGCACATATTAAAGACTTATTCAACTTATTGTTAATGAAGTAGTCAGTGGGATGTTAACTAGTTCAAAGAAGTCAAATGAGCACAAATTTATATGGAATAAGGCAATGTTTGAAATGAATTTACAAATGAACAGGAAAACTGGCTTTTTCCATGGAAGGGAGGGAAAGCAATCCCAAACATCCGCAAACAGAGTATGTTTGCGTTTCTATAGACAAGACCTACTTTGCCCAGCTATCACTAGTCCACAGGTTTACAGAGCTGTAAAAGAGCTGACGGGCAGTGAAAGGCTGGAGGCAGATTCCCTGCACAAGGGGGCTCTAAATAGGGCTTAGTTTTGCCTTGAAGAATCCCAATCATCTTTTCTGCTATTTCCAAATATTCTTAGAACTGCCAGTCTCTCTTTACTGAGTCTCGTCTCAAGTGTCTTGTTGTGGACTGCATGCTGCATCCTCTGCAATCCATATGTTGAAATTCCACCCCCCCCCCAGGGTGATGATATTAGGAGGTGGGGCCTTTGGGAGGTGATTAGGACAGGAGGGTAGAGCTCTTATAATGAATGGGATTAGTGCTCTTATAAAAGAGGCCTCAGACAGTCCCATCACCTCTTCCACCATGTGAGGACACCTTGAGAAGATGGCCATCTCTGAACCAGAAACTGAGCTCTCATCAGACACCAAATATGCTGGCACCTTGATCGTGGACTTCCCAGACTCCAGACTGGGAGAAATAAATGTAAGCCACCTAGACTGTAACATTTTTTGTTGTAGCAGCTCAGACTAAGATATCTCTTTTCAGCTAGGATATGAATTTTGGGCTCCTGTGTTTGCCTTTTCATTGTTCAATTTTAGCAAGAGTCCTGCTAAGTTAGTTTGGCCAAATCCCCTATCCTTGATATGGGGTTGGGTTCCTTGGCCTCCACCATCCCCCACGTGATGTCTGATTACCCAGCCTCCCTTCAGCAAGAATCCTGCCAAGTCGGCTTAGCCAGAGTCCCCCTGACCCCTGATGTTTCCTCTTAGCAATTTTCCATTCACTGACTGCTTCCCACCCCATACTTGGCCATAAATTCCCACTTTTCCTTATTTGGAGGAAACTGTATTTGGAGCGGAGCTTGAACTCTCTGGCCCCCTGCAAAACCCCATTTCAGTGGTCCCTACAGCTGTAGAAATGGTCCGAAATAAAGTCTACCTTATTGTTCTTTGATGAGTGTCGTCAATAAATTTTGTTAAACACAACCTTGGATTTTAAGAGTAATTTTGCAGAGAAGACCTTACCTTCATAATGATTTCTTTATCTTCATAATAAAACCACCAGCAGTATGTCTTCAATCTTTTGCTCAGTCGACGGAACCTAACCTGAGGGTGGGAGTCAGGGATAAAGAAAGAAAAGGAATTCCTTTAATATTTCTTCCATTGTCCTCCTGAAATTTCTGAGAAAATAGAATACATCAAATAAATATTTGATTGTAGTCAATCTTGGGACCTTAATATATCAGGTTCTTTATTTATAGAAGAGTGGGTGACAGGCAGCAGGGGGGCAATTGTTGGTTTATAGAATACACACAGGATACAAATACTTTAGGTTCTGGGGACAGACACTCCATTCTCCATCCACCTACTAGTCTGAACCATTCCTTGTGAAGCATATTTTGAAAACCATGATAGGAGTTTGAGAGATGAAATTGCATTCAGGGTTTTCCTTTAGATTTCAGGGCTGGACCCTATGATTCTGTTTCTAGGAAGGAGAATTAAGCAGATTTGGCTCCTATATTATTACCAGAGGGCTGAAAGCACTGCGGGGTCACCCTTCCTGCCCAGCCCTGGGAACTCTAAAGAAATTCCAGGGATGAAAAATCCTTGTGGGGTGGGATAAGTCAGGAGAGATGACTTCCTCCTCCAGCAATGGGAGAGCAGTGGGCACTGCTTTTCACTGACTTTATGCCTTTGTCTGTGGGGCAACAGCAGCGTCCTGCTCAGAGAGGCACTTGACAGAGGCCAGTGGTAGTTCAAGCAGAAGAGATTAAGGGGATGGGGTCAAATGCGGAGGCATCCCGTTTTCTTAAATGGGGGGAGCAATGAAAAATTGACAAGAGAAGACTGTTAAGTTTGCTCTGAACACGTGTGTGAAGTAGAATTCCAAGGGGCGGAATTATGAGGTTGAAGGATCTGTGCTGACTGTAATCAGTTTCCTGCAGACCCTGGGAATTAATGTAGGAACGTTTATAGGGTAACATGGAAATCATTAATAAGTGCAAAGAGCAGGATGTAAGATAATACGTGTACTGATATAGCCATACTAAAATGGGAAAGAAATGTGGATACCAGTAGCTTGGGTGTTTTGTTTTGTTTTTTTAAGATTTTTTTATATATTCATTTGAGAATGAGAGCCAGAGCAAGCACGAGCAGGGGCGGGGGCAGAGGGAGAGGGAGAAGCAGACTCCCCGCTGAGCAGGGAGTCTGATGATGATGATGTTGATGATAATGATGATGATGATGATGACGACGATGCTGCTGCTGCTGCTGCTGCTAATACTGACCTGATCCCTGGACCCTGGGATCATGACCTGAGCAGAACGCAGACACTTAACTGACTGAGGCACCCAGGCGCCCTCTTGGTTTCTTTCTTTTTTTTTTTTTTTTAACCAGAATAGGGTCATTTGCATATTTTTAAAAATTGTTTATATTTTGATCACTGTGATCAAATAATAAAATGATAATTTTAAATAGCAAAACTAAAGCACGAGAAAAAACATGCATTTGCTTATCGTTATCCTAATTATGACCTAGAGTGCCATCTTCCACATTCTGCCCTTGCATATAACCTTGACGTCTAACGAATAATACTTATCAGGCCATCTACGTGATAGTGAGAAATACCTATGGCAAGAAAATACATGGAGTTTTAAAATTATGTTTGTTCTCTCTGAATTTCAGGTCCTTAGGGCTTTGGGGCTTCAGGGATTCTTGGAAGATTAAATGCAGAAGCAACCAGAAGTCAATGTTCTTCAGTTCTTTTGTAAGAGCCTAGAGGAGCAATAGAGCCAGGGGTTCAGGAGGGTGGGAGCGCCCAGAGGCACGGCTCCCTGGGGTCCCTCGGGCTGGCAAGGACCCTTTTGGAGGAGATGGCTCAGTGCTTTGCTGAGAGCCTGAGCAGACCCACTGCCAGTGACCCTGAGGGAATCAGTGGGGTTGTGATGGGCTGAAAGTGAGACCCATTTCCAGTTCCATAGACGCTTCTCAGGAGCTGCATCCTTCAGGAAGGGGACAGACCCCAAGGTGACCAAGATGGCATCTCCCTCCATCGCAGTACTGCTGATGGTCTGAATGAAGCTGACAGAAAATGAAATAAGCCAGGGTTTGTGACTTGAATCTCTTTGAATTGAGATCCAAACTGCAGAGCAGATACTTTGGCAGGGAACTAGGAGAGGGAGTCCGAGAGTCTGTGTCCAGTGGGTGTGAGCTGAAAGCAGATGCTTGAAATGTTGGATCATCGATTATACCCAGAGGTCACTGGGTAGAGCTGTGGTTCTCTAACTTGCGGGTGTTCTGGAATCATCTGGAGGGCTCCTTAAAGCATAGAGTGCTGGGCTCCACTCCCAGAGCTTCTGCTTGGGAGAGGTCTGGGTTGGGCCTGAGAATTTGCGTTTTTAACAAAATCCCAAGTCTGGCTGATGGTGCAGGCCCCAGGGAAATACTCTGGTAACTGGCGAGTATAACGTGTTGTTCAGATACTTTGATATAAAACATCTTGACGCTGCCACTGTCTAATGCGACGTGAAAGTAGTTTTACCGGACATTACCGTCTCCTAGACTTGGCTTATTTTCAGATCTCAGAATGGAACTTTTGGAGCTCCTTAGATTCATTTCAAAGGCCCATTTTGGAGGAAGTGGTTGCAGGGCTTTCACTGCCTTTATAAAGGACCACAGTGTTAGGAGACTTCGATGATATAATGAAAAGGGTCATTTGTGGGATCTCTATCGGTGTGTGAAGCTCTCACACATGCTACGTGGTCAGGGTATTTCTCTTAATGTAAACTTTCAAAAATATGTCTTTGGGTCTTTTAGCAGCAGTCCTGTGAGCTAAACCCAGGAGTATTTTTTCCGTTTTATGGTCATAGTCACAGAGCTGGGATTAACTCCATGCTGTATGGGTAGATGTGACATCAGTGATGCTACAAAGGGGGCGTGACCAGGGAATAATGAGGGGGGACCCCACACACAGCAAAGGCACCTGAATCACCTACCTCTGTAAAGAGGCCTCATAGACCCTGGCTTCTCCGGCCTGTCTCCTCCCAACCGCCTTCCTGATAAACCTTCAACTGGAAAAAGGAGGAGGCCTCAGCCACAGAGGAAACACTCTCCTAGATCAATTCCGACACCTCAGGAACCATATTCCAAAACTGAGTGGGGCCCACCACTGTTTCCATAACTCAGCCCATTCCCTGGAAGCTCCGTGTGCCCTGTTTGTCACCTCAGGGCCTCTCTGATACCTCGGCGCCTGCCTCCTGGCCAGCTTGGGAATCAGAACCCCACGCGTGCTCTAGTCTTGAACTGAACAAACACATACAGGGTTGGCCTTTTCTGCAGGTGGAGGGAAAGAGCAAACATAGGGGAACAGGGGCCCAGCCAGCAGCAAAGAAGTCGGTTCGGATTGAGGGGAAATGGAATGGCTTGGCCTAGCGGAAGGCAATTCCAAAATTTCATTCACTACCTGAGCTCTGAAATGTGAAGAGAAAGGACTGGAAGGGAATGGGCCGTTCCTAACATTTCATATAAACGACATCACACAGCCTGCGGCCCTTTCCTTCACTCAGCATGTTTTCAAGGTTCATCCGTGGTGTAGCAGATAGACCAATACTTCATTTCTTTTTATTGCCAAAAAAAATATTCCATTGTTTGATACACCACACTCTACTTTTCCATCCATCAGTTGACTTCCATCTCTTGGCCACTATGAATAATGCTGCTATGAACATTTGTGTAGAAGTATCTGTATGGACAGTGAACATACATTTTTATTTTTCTTGGGTATATTCCTAGGGGTGGAATTGCTGGATCATAGGATAATCCCATGTTTAACTGTTTGAAGAATTGCTGAACTGTTTTTCCGAAGCAGCCACAGCATCTTACGTTCCCACCAGCAGTGTGTGAGGGCTCTTGTTTCTCAGCGTCTTCACCAACCCTTGTTATTATTTGTCTTTTGGATTTTAGGCATCCTAGTGGGTATGAAATAGTATCTCATTCTGGTTTTTTTTTTTTTTTTTCCATTCTGGTTTTAACTGACGTTTCCCTGATGTCTAAGAATGTTGAGCAACCTTTCAGGTGCGGGTTAGTCATTTCTGTATCTTCCCTTGGGGAAATGTCTATTCAGATCCTTTGCCTATTTAAAAAAAAATTAGTTGTTTGCCTTTTTATCACAGAGTTGTAGTAGTTTCTTGTACATGCTACGCAGAAGTCACAGAAGTCTCTTATCACATATAGGATTTGCCAAAGTTTCGTCCCACTCTGTGGATTTTCTTTTCACTTTCTTGATAATGTCCTTTGAAGCACAAAAGTTTTTCATTTTAATGGTGTCCACCTCATTTATTTTGCCCTTTGCTACTTAGCTTTTGGTGTCATGTCTAAGAAACAAGCCAGAAAGTCTTATGTCTCTGAATCATTTTAAGAGTTTTACAGTTTCAGCTCTTACATTTAGGTGTTTGATACAATTTTTAGTTAACTTTTGTTGATGTTGTGAGGTGGAGGGGGAGACGCTCTTGTATGTGGATATCAACATGTCCTGGCATCATTTACTGAAGACTATTCTTTTCCTATTTAGTCTTTTTGGGACTCTTGTTAAAAACCAATAGACTGTAATCTTGAGGGTTTATTTCTGGGACTCTCACTGATTTCACTTCACTGATTTAGCATGTCTACTCTACGCCAGTACCACACTGTCTTGATTATTGTAGCTTTGTTGTAAGTTTTGAAATCTAGAAGTTTGAGTTGTCCAACTTTGTTTTTTTAAAGATTGTTTTGGGGCAGCCTGGGTGGCTCAGCGGTTTAGCGTTGCCTTCAGCCCAGGGCGTGATCCTGGAGACCCAGGATGGAACCCCATGTTGGGCTCCCTGCGTGGAGCCTGCTTCTCCCTCTACCTGTGTCTCTGCCTCTCTCTCTCTCTCTCTCTTTCTCTCATGAATACATAAATAAAATCTTTTTAAAAAATAAGGATTGTTTTCGCTATTGTTGGTCCCTTGCAATTCCATATGAATTTTTAAATTTTTGCAAAGAAGCCACTTACTACTTTGAATTTTTTTGCCTTGAATCGGTAGATCAGGGTGGAGAATGCTGCCATTTTAACCATATTAAGTCTTCCGACCCATGAAAACATGATGTCTTTACATAGGTTTAATTAGGTTTTCTTTCATTTCTTTTCTATAGTGTTTTGTAGTTGTCAGCGTCTAAGTCTTACATTTTTTTAATTTAATTTAATTTTTATTTATTTATGATAGTCACACAGGGGGAGAGAGAGAGGCAGAGACACAGGCAGAGGGAGAAGCAGGCTCCATGCACCGGGAGCCCGACGTGGGATTCGATCCCGGGTCTCCAGGATCACGCCCTGGGCCAAAGGCAGGCGCCAAACTGCTGCGCCACCCAGGGATCCCCTAAGTCTTACATTTTTGTTACATTTATTTGTAACCATTTTTTCCTTTTTGATGCTATTATAATAGAATTGTTCATTTCATTTTATGTTGGCTCATTGCAGATGTATAGAAATATAATTAATTTTTATATATTGATTTTTGTATCCTGTACCTTTTTGAACTCATTTATTAATTCTCATGGTTAGGATTTTCCACATATAAGATCATGCCGTCTGCAAATAGAGATAACTGTACTTCCTTCTAATCTGTATGTCTTTTATTTCATTTTCTGGCTTAACTGCTCTGGCTAGAACAGTCCAATCAATAAAATGTTGGATGGAAGTGTTGAGACTGGACATCTTTGTTCTCTTCTTGGTCTTAGGAAAAAAGCACTCAGTTTTTCACCATTAAGAATAAGCTGTGAATTTTTTGTAGATGTCTTTAATCAGGTTGAGGAAGTTCCCTTCTATTCCTAGTGTGTTAAATGTTTCTATCACAAAGGGCTGTTGAAATTATGAACATTCTTGTACATTACTTGGGCTGAACCTGGGTACGCATTAAGGACTCACTTCTGTTGGGTACATACCAAGAAGTGGAAACGCTGAGTCATAGGGTATGCGTAAATTTAGCTTTCATAGACACTGTCAAACAGTTTTTGTAAGTGCTTCTATTAATAAACACGCCCATCAACATTATATGAAGATTCCAGTTGCTCTATGGGATGGTGCTTCATTAAACCACTGGCTGAGATCTACTTCCTCACCTTTGCCATCAAAACTCCCTACTTCCTAGTCTCCCTGTGTGGGCAATGGTGATGGGAAATGGTAACCAGACTTTGACAAATGTAGGAGTTGCCCTCATTCACCACTCCCATGGCAGCTTTGGTGGGAATTCAATCAATAGGATGGAAGAAAAGGGTTTATAATATCTGCCAACACAAGATGTGAAAAAGAAGTCTTTTAATTTTCTATTTTTATTAGTACTAATGTTAAGACAAATTTTCATAGTTTTGTCATTTGTATTGTGTGATTTTTCTGTTCAGATCTTTCACTTTTTAATTTTTTTAAACAAAAAATGTGATTTTTGAAATAGCTTTAAGCCCTCTTTATTTATAAAGCCATTATCTATATTTTCATATTTTAAAATAATATTTTTCCAGAATCACTGTCTATCTTAGTGGCTTTTCATTTTTATGAGTGTAGATGTACCCGTTGTTTATTTATGATTTTTGGCATCAGTGCCATCTTAAAAAAGGCCTTTCTCATCCACAGTTATACAAAGATTATTTTTCTTAGTATTCTTTATGTGTGTTTTAAAACATTTATTCTATAATGTAACTGAATTTATTTTCATGCATGGTGCGAAGTAAAGATTCAGCTTTATGTTTCTTTAATATGGTGTTAAAATTTTGACAGTGCAAAGAATCCACAATGATCTGTGACTTCATCACTTGTGATGGGGGCCAGGGTAATCTCTGTGCACTTATTAATAAAAAGAGAGCATTGCAGCAGATTGAGAAGGGGGTCTTTTTTCCCCAAGCAAAGTGGTAATACGTGTTCATTGTAGGAAATTTGAAACCATGGACGTAGCTAAAATCTAAGTCAAAAAGGGGAAATTACACTCACCTTTATTGCAGCCTCGTCTCAGGCCTGGCTCCACTCCTGTGTGTTGCTCACATACACACTATAGTTGTGTTCCATGACACCAATTTTAACTTTTCTTCCCTGTTCTCAGGTGGATGGGTAACTGCAGTGGCTCCTGCTGACCTCAGCATAAGTCCCTGAGGATATGAATCACCTTAGTTAACAAAAGAATTATGGAGTTAAAAGGGACTTGATGAGGGGCACTTGGGTGGCTCAGTGGTGGAGCGTCTGCCTTTGGCTCAGGTCATGATCCTGGGGTCCTAGACCGAGTCCCCCATCAGGCTCCCTGCATGGAGCCTGCTTCTCCCTCTGCCTATGTCTGTGTCTCTCATGAATAAATAAATAAAATCTTAAAAAATGAAAATAAAAAGAGACTTGAGTGCTTTTTCCCTTTTGACCTTGCACAGGATTACGCTTCAGAAAAACTTTGTTCCAGAGACTTCCAGCACCTCCCTCCAAAACTCTTCCCTGGCTAATTCTGGAGACAGCAGTTTCTTGCAAACATTCACCCCAAAGCTCTCCATGAAATTCAAGCTCACCTCTTCTGGTTCCTTCCTTAGATCAAATAGGCAGCAGCTGCTGACCATCCCTCATAGGATATTCATGCACACACATCCAGATGGTAGCTGTACTCAGGGTCAGAGGCACAGTCGTCCCCTCTCTGCAGGGCAGTAGTGGGGGCCCTGGATTGACTAGTTTTTTTTCTTTTTAAACTTGTCTCTTTTTTTTCATAGCAAGAGCATTGTTTAGCTCAACATTTACTAAAGCAGATGCTGAGGAAGACTGCCCAGGTTATATTTTGAGGGCACTTCAGTCAGGCTAACCGTTTTTCCTCAGCTTCTGTTTCTTCTCATTCTTCCATTAAAAGCCACTGTCTAATAGGACTTTTTTGGAATCCAGGTATAAAGAAGAAGTACAGGGTTTTTATGTGGTACTTTGGCCTTTAGATCATTTCTATTTTTTTTGCCTTTTATTTTTATTTTTAATTGTGGTAAAATATGTATAATTTACCATTTTAGCCATTTTTTCAAGGGATGCCTAATTTTTTTTATTAAAGGTATATATTTTTCTTCATTAGAGATTGAAAAAGAGAGTGTGCACAAGTGGAGGGAGGGGCAGGGGAAGAAGGAGAGGCAGGCTCCCAGCTGAGCAGTGTGAGCCTGATGTGGGGCTTGATCTCAGGACAGGATCATGACCTGAGCCAAAGGCAGACACTTAACCAACTAACTGAGCCACCCAAGCACCCTGAATTTTCTTTTTATTGTAGTAAATAACACATGGCATAAATCCACCATCTGATTTTTAAGTGTACATTTTAGTAGTGTTGAGGACATTTGCAATGCTGTGAAATAGACCGCCAGAATTTTTTCATCTTGCAAAACTTGAACTCTATATTTATTAAGCAATAACTCCTCATCTTCCCCTCCTCTCAGACCTTGGCAACCACCATTCTACTTTGTTTCCATTAAGTTGACAACTTTAGATTCCTCATATAAATGGATCATATTATAGTATTTGTCTTGTGGTGGCTGGCTTATTTTAACATACGTTCTCAAGGTTCACCCATGCCATAGCATGTGCCAGGATCTCCTTCCTTTTTTTTTTTTTTTAAGATTTTATTTGTTTATTCATGAGAGACACACACAGAGAGACATAGGTAGAGGGAGAAGCAGGCTCCATGCAGGGAGCCTGATGTGGGACTCGATCCTGGGACCCCAGGAGCTCACCCTGAGCCGAAGGCAGATGCTCAACCACTGAGCCACTCAGGCCTCCTATCTCCTTCCTTTTTAAGGCTGAATAATATTCCACCATATGTGTATACCACACTTTGTTGAACCATTTATCCACTGATTGGCACTTGATTTGCTTCCACCTTTTGACTTTTGGGATTTGTTTTTGCTAGAAGGAGTATTTTTGTGTTTGGGGATAAGATAGATTTGAAGGAAAAGTAAACAGAAAAGGGAGTCTAGGCCACAGAGGTTATCAGTGTGTTTATTCTAAGCAGCTATAGAGCCTTAGAAACTCTTTCCATACCAGTACATTGGGTTAGACTTTGTGGGCCTCTGATCATTTGTGTTACCAACCTGGTATAGTCTCCAGTTATTCTGTGCTTAATGTCTAACTAAACATGACTCATTTGGCTAAGTTGGGACAATGCAGCCGAGAACAAAATGAACAGTTAACACAGCAGCATCAGATATGGACACTTAAGGGAAATATCAGAAAGGGACACAGAACATAAAGACTCCTCTGAGAAACGAACTAGGGGTGGTGGAAGGGGAGGAGGGCGGGGGGTGGGGGTGAATGGGTGACGGGCACTGAGGGGGACACTTGACGGGATGAGCACTGGGTGTTATTCTGTATGTTGGTAAATTGAACACCAATAAAAAATTAATTTATTAAAAAAAAAGATATGGACACTTAATTAGAGGTACTATTTCTTTCTAATTGAAATTTTATGCAATACCGCATGTTTGAAAAGTACTGTGTGATCAGTTTGGCCAGGCAAGCATCTTAAAAATCTTCTGAGGATTTACATTTTAATCAGTTCAATGCCCTACCTAGGACAGTGAAATTTCTAGATCTAACAGGAGATGAAAAGATAGGGTTACTCCTGGCTTGGCAGCGTTGGGGTGTGTGGGAGGGGAGAGAGAGGTGGGATGGAGATACTTCTTGATACTCTTTTGTGAAATTTAGATGCTACAAAGCCAAATTTCCTCCAAGGCCACAAAAAATGAAAAAGCAGCATTTGGACACATGACTTTGAGTCTCTAATCAACTCCTCAGCTCTGTCTAGAGTTCAGTAAACTCTACTCTAAATCATTTCCAGTGGCCATTCATCATCATCGCCAAGGGAAGCAAATATAAGTCAAGCGCATCAAAAGAATGACAGCCAATGCCCAACCAACCCAGGTCAAATAACCAAGGAAACTAATTACACATTTCCAGGAAGGAATTCATCCCCAGACCCTAGAAGGTAGCAAATGCAGCAGCCTTAGTAGTTAGCCAGAGACCTTGTCAATATGTTGATCACCAGTGACCTCGATTTTAAAGGCACCTGTCCCCAAAGAATAACTAAACAAAATTCACGGTAGAGCTCAGGGTCCCACTGTGAGCTAGGGAAGTGTTAATACAACACAATTTAGCTGCTTTGACATCTCTGGCCATTTCATCTTTTCTCTGGCTCATTTTGCCTTCTTACCTGCTTATTCACTGCAGTAGCTGTAATCACGTGTTATTATTACACTCTTGCCATCGGATTTTCTAGCTGTGCTTTAAGTACTTTGGGGACTTTGGCTTCCTGTGGACTTGGCTTCTCTTCTTCATGCAGCGTGATCTTTACTACACTCTGCTTTTCAATCCCTTGCTCCTTCTAACTTAAGTGCAGTGTTATCAAGCTTTCAGAGTAGGCCTGCACAAGACTGTAAATTGACTTGCTGTCTCCACTGGCTCTTTCCATCATGCTAAAAAGCTAAAGAGCAGGAAGCTGAAGAGTTAGGAATCTAAACTTCAGATCACCACAACTAAAGGGCTAGTCCCCTATGTCAGCTACTCTCAAATTTTAGTCTGCATCAAACCACCTGAAGGGCAGGTTGAAGCAAAGGGTGGAGGCCCCACTCCCAGAATTTCTGATTGAGTAGGTCTGGGTTGAGCTCAGAGAATTTGCATTTCTGACAAATTCCCAGGTGATGCTAATGCTGCTATTCTAGGGACCATACACTAAGAATTAATGCTCGAGGCTAAGAATATTAATGTCAGAAAGAACCACATCTCACAGTTATTGGCCACTCATTATATGCAAGACACTATTCTAAGTGCTTTGCACATTTGTCTTTAAAACAATTTTGATTTTTTTCTGTTTTCAAATGATAGCACTGAATCAGAGAGGTTAAGTAGCTTTCCCAAAGTCACACAATGAATAAGTGCTGGTGCTGGGCTATGAACCTTGGTAGTCAGTTTCAGAGCCCACAGGCTTTAAATTAAACTCCATAATATCAAGCAAAGCATCTGAGGGCTTCAAATGAATATATTTGCATACATTTTGTATTTACCTATGTATGAACCTGCAAAAACTCAGAAATGATTAAGAAAAACAATCACTGTTAATAATAAGCCAGTTATTCCATTTCCCCCCAATTCTGTTCATTTTACTTACTATTCCCCCCCCCTCATTGTGGGCCAGAATGAATAAAAGAGGAACATCATAAAATTTTCTAATTGAAACATTTAAAAAAATTCACCTGTCAAGGTAAAGAGCATCTGTACATATTTCTTCTCTCTTTCTTTCAAATCTCCCATCAATCTTTAGTCATAGAAGCATTTCTTGCATGGACTTCGATCACTTGTGAAGATGTGGCTTATTATTTTGCTTCTTCCCAGAGAAGGGCCCTTTGTCTCTCTCTCTGCTCCACTGATGCTTTAATCTGAGCTTTTCCAGGAGCTGAAACTGAAAAACATTATTGATTTGAGAGTTTGCTGCTTGAGTGACTGTAAATTGTGATAAATTAGCTCCACTTGGGTCTCCCCACCTGTGACCATGATAATTTAGAGCAAAACTAAGGTCTTGAACCAATACTAGCCGTATTCCCTCAAATCTAAGATGCCACTGTTTGTAGGAAGGACCATTATTTTATGAATCACTAAGAATGAGAAAGAACGCTGCCAATTAGGCTGTGGCAAAGCTGAAGTCCTTATGCAATAATTGAGCACACAAACCTCTCGTTACTTTGACAATTCTTTCATCACTTGGCAAGATCTCCAAATTCATTCAGGTGTGTATCTTGGTGTGCGAAATGCCAGTGCTTCTCAGACTTGACTGGGCACACGAATCTCCTGAGAGTCTTGTTAAAATGCAGATTCTGATTCAGTAGGTCTGGGATGGAGCTGAAATTCTGCATTGCTAATAAGCTGCCAGATGCTGCTGCTGCTGCTGCTGCTGGTTGTACACCAATTTGGGGGTAGCAAGTTGACAAGCAATCTTTACACAGACCTCCTTAACAGAATGGAACTTCTCTTCATCTGTTCATGGATATCTTCCTTTCTTAGGTCTCCTAAAGCACTTGCTTGTTGTTTTGCAAGAAAATGTAGAGCTGCGGGGCGCCTCGGTGGCTCAGCCCGGTTGAACTCAGGTCCTGGGATCAAGCCCCTTGGTGGGGCTCTCTGCTCAGTGGGGAGTCTGCTTTTCCCTCTCCCTCCTCTTGTTCTCTCACTCCCAATCTCTCTCCCCCACATCAAATGAATAAATAAAATCTTTAAAACATATATTTTAAAAAAGGAAAGAAACTATAGAGCTGCAGTAACTCCTCCAACAACAAATATTTGCTCTACAAATATCAGACTTAAGTCCCACACCTATACCACGAGGCCTTCCTTTGTAGACAATGACTTTTTGTTTCAGTATTGAATCGTAGTGTAAAGATTTTGAAGACACTCTGAAAGGCAATAAAGCTTAACACATCTAGTAGGACAATGCACACAACTCAACAGAAGTGAAGGTAATATGGACAGCCATGACCAAGTTCATCAACGCACGGGCCGTGACAACTGTGTCACAGCTGCTGCCAGGAAGACAGTGAATACAGGATGCCATCATTTCATAAGACTCATTCTGATCTCTCTGCAATAATAAAATATGAAAAAAATAGAATATATGAAAACTATAATGATATTACATTAAAAGAACAAGAACAATGGGAGGGCAAGGAAAGACATTGGACATGAAACTGTATATCAAACCTTGCATTTATCCATTTGTTCACGATAGATTTATTATTTAGTATAGATAAGGCACTGTGCTTCGAGAAATTACAGTGAACAAGCAGAGCCACAGTTCCTGCCCTCATGTAGCCTACAATTCAGCAGGGAGGCTGATGTTAAAAAAAAATACAGTCGATCCTCCTCAGAAACACAGTCAGTCCTTGTGGATCCTGTATTTGCAAATTTGCCTGCTAGGGCCATTACAAAATACTACAGAGGGGACGTTTAAATAGAAATTTGTTTTCTCAGAGTCCTGGAGGCTACAAGTCCAAAATCAAAGTGCTGGAAAATTCCATTTTTGGTGAAGTCTCTCTTCCTTGCTTGCTGATGACCAATTTCTCATTATGCCCTCACACGACCTTTTCTCTAACCACCTGCAAAAACAGAGAGAGGGTGTCTCTTCCTCTTCTTATGAGAACACCGGTCCTATTGGGTTAAGGCCCCACCCTTTTTTTTTTAAAGATTTTATTTATTTATTCATGAGAGACACAGAAAGAGAGAGGCAGAGACATTTAGGCAGAGGGAGAAGCAGGCTCACTGTGGGGAGCCCGATGCGGGACTTGATCCCAGGACCTGGGGATCACAACCCGAGCCAAAGGCAGACACTCAACCACTGAGCCACCCAAGTGTCCCAAGGCCCCACCCTTATGATCTCATTTAATCTGAATTACCTCCTTAAAGGCCCTAGCCCTAAATATAGTCACATAAATATAGTTTGGGCTTCAACATATAAATTTTGGGAAGTCTCAATTTAGTCCATAACAGCCTATTTCCTCAAATCTATCTGTAACCCCCAAATCAATGCTTGCTATGCTTTCATGGTCATTAATAGACATGCCGGGCTTCAAAAAATTTGTGTGGTGAGGCACATGTTTCCAGTTGAAGTTGAACAAGGTGACTGCTGTCTTCTTGTTTCAGTACTCATACTCGGAACAATGTCTTTTTCATGGCCTCTTAGGGCCACTATTTTTGCATTTTTGTGCTTTTTGTGGGTGATTCTACTGTTTGAAGCGAACCTTAAGTGCAGCGTTGAGGTGCTGTCTGGTGCTCTGAGTGCAAGAAGGCCGTGATGTGCCCCATGGAGAAAATGCCTGCGTGTTAGATGAGCCTCATTCAGGCATGAGTTGTATGGGTCCAATCTTAACGAATCGACAAGATATATTAAATAAGGTGTCTTTATTTATTTTTTAAAGATTTTATTTATTTATTCATGAGAGACACACAGAGAGAGAGGCAGAGACACAGGCAGAGGGAGAAGCAGGCTCCATGCAGGGAGCCCAATGCGGGACTTGATTCCAGGACCCCGGGGTCACGCCCTGAGCCGAAGGCAGATGCTCAACCGCTGAGCCATCCAGGTGTCCCAAAAAGGCGTCTTTAAAGGAAATACATGGCACACAACATTATATATCCATCAGTTGATGAAAATGTGATCCGAGTCTGGCAGGAACCTAACTCTATACTTCTAGGAACAGCGGTTCGGTATTCACTAATTCAGAGTTTATGGCAACTTCATAGACCCTAACTAGAAGACTTATAAGAATCGAATGTAATTACACCATTAATTATTTAATTATGATTGTGATATGAAGAAGCATCATAAGGTTCTATGAGAAGGCTCCATAGGCCCTCATATAAGGGCCTGTATTTAACAGAGTGTTCATTCAACATATTTGTAGAATGAAAGAAAATACTGCATACCAGGAACACAGAATAAAGGGAGGAGAGAAAAATTAGCATTGGAGGCTCACTATGCAGTATACATGCTCCCTGCATTCCAAATGTGGTGGTCTTCCAAAGATATTTATTTGTTCATTTATTTGTTGGTGTTTTCAACAAGAATAAGACTTATACACCAGTAGGACTTTCAATGCTGTGTGTTTTGAGTTACAAATTTTGGATCTCCATTAAAAACTATAAACATATCCCGGGGCACTTTTAGATGAAGATTGGTGGTTTGGGAGACTATCAGACTCTGGTAGAAAGTAATCCAAGAAGTTGAAAAATTAAGATGTCTTCCCCATTCTTGGTTCCTATAAAGAAGCAATTAAAAAAGAAGAAGAAGAAGAAGAAGAAGAAGAAGAAGAAGAAGAAGAAGAAGAAGAAGAAGAAATTTAAAAAAAGAAAGGCATTGATCATTCTTTAAAAATTTTCATATTTAATTACTTTTTCTTTCCAGTTTGAAAACATTTTCTCATTAAAGAATTTGATCTCATATACCTGAAAGAGGAATTGAAACAATTGGTTTTTCCAGTTCCATTAATGGCTTGTGTTTTGATTTCCAACCACCAGGTGGAGACCAAACAAAAATAATTAAAGTATTTCCAGTGTCTTCCGCTTGATGGGGAATGCGAGCGATTCCGTAATCTAAATTGGGGGCACAGAGAATTTTTTTCCTCTTGTGAATGAGCCCGTGATATCTTAGGGAATAAAATCTCATAGATCAGAGACCACATGCAAACTCAAAGCAAACATAATTTTTTGAGGAGAACCATCAGGTGTTCAATCAATCACTTTTAAAATTAAAATCGGAAACATGTATATTTTAAATAAGTTTAACAAAAGTAAACATATTTACATTTCTTGCTACATTATGGCCAGCTGGAGGATGGGTGAGATGAAGTAGAAAAAAAAACAGAAAAAAAAAAAAGAGAAAGAGGAAGAAAGAGAGGCAGAGAGAGACAGCTACACAGAGTGAAACACAGAGTGGATGAAGGCTGAGCTGAAACACGGAATGGGAGCCCGGTCGGGCTGTGGGTCCAGGGGCCAGCCCCTTGTTGTTCCTTCTTGTCCCTATGCACGGAGGGTATCCAGGTCAGCAATCCCATAGAGCTCTTTCAGAGGCTGATTAACCTTCAAGCATCCCCTTTCGGAACTGAAATTTGCGTTTTATTGGCAAACCTCAGAGTTCAATTTTCAAGTGAAGATTTTTTTTCCCCATCAAACTTGTAAGATCTTCCCAGCTCATATAAAGAAATCCTTTGAGTTTTGTTTTGTTTTTTTTTTTTTAACTTCCCTCTGTAACTTTACAAGTGTCTTTTGGGGTAAGATATTTACTATTCACAAGCAGTCAGATAGCTTTCTGTTTTTTTTTTTTTTTTTTTTTTTAAGTTAGGGGTTTCTCATCCCATCGTGTTTGAAAGTTATAATCAATTCTAGTGGCCACATAATTATTTTGAGTCTAATTGCCAGTCAAATGTATTGTCTGCGCATGTGTGAAAGCCATAGTGGGTCACATGCATGCTGCCTAATTAGAGCCTTATGAAGATGTTCTATGACAGGAACAAAGATAAAATTTCTCTTCTCGGAACATAGAGTAACAGCAGATCCTGCTTCCTGCCTCTTGGGGGATCCAAAAGTTTCAGTCACTACAGCTTACCACAAAGAGGGGGAAATGGCCCAATGTCTGTAGCGTACTTCTCCTTATTTACCAGGAACTGGACACAAGAAAATTAGGAGCCAGATCCCAGCTATGGGCAGAACTTCTCCATGAGGGTCTCATTGTTCAGATGAAATGGAGCCAACTCTCTGGCACAGTTGTCATTGTAACTAGAAAGTAGTGGGGACACTGGAACCAGTCTCATCATTTTAGAAAAGCCCATCTCATAGGTACTGTGAGTCACCACCATGTATCACATTTAATGCTTCTGTGAAATTACATCATATGAAAGTTGGTAGCCTTTTAAAAAAAAGTGGTGTGGTATGGTATTCA